TTCTCCCCGGTGAAGGTTTCATTCAATTGGTATGTTTCATACAAAAAGAAGTTGCTAATAGGTTAAGGGGTTATTTAAATGGATAATGATTAGTATATATCTAGTTTAATACAATTCACAATATATTTATTAAAAAATTATTTTTTTAAACTTAAATACAAGATGAAAAACTTTCAATTATATATTTTAATAGTTGAATTATTGAGCATTAGCAAGTGTGTTAAATTAAAAAGCATACCAATCATTTTTTTGAACTTAAATAGACTTGTTGGATTGACCATTGATTAGTTTATATTAATTAATTTTTTTAAAAAATAAATATCAATTTGTATTGTAAAAAATTAAATAAAAAATATTTTAAAATTACATTACTTTTATAAAGTATCATTAAAAGAAAAAACTAAAACTATCCTAATAATTAAAATAGGAATAAGGTTATTTTACTTTATTTTTGTAATATTTTATTAAAATAACATAATTTCGAGATATATATTTTTTTCTTCTTCTCTGACTTCGGCAAGCAGATCAAGGTTTTCTCGAAACAGTTGTCCATTTCGTCCTTCATCGAAATGGGTTACCCTGAAACTTGGGACTCCTATTTTAATAGAAATGACTGCTTCTGTAGTAAAGGCCAGGTGGTAGGGTGTTTCACTTATTTTATTAAGTTAAAATTTTTAGTATATGCTTTATGTGTTATGCATATTTGTTCTAGAGTAAAGTAGTAGGTGAGGAAGTAAAATAGAATAAAAGTAACTTGGGTTGGAAATGGTACCTGTGGCAGTTCGGCTTGTTGTTCTAAATGTCCATAGGACGTTGTTGAGCTCGTCTGCCCACCTAGCCTTGTGTTGCTCCAACCTAGGCTTTATTCTCTCCATGATAACTTTATTGACAGATTCGACCATACTATTGGATTTCGGATGGTATACAGAGGTAAATTGTAGTTTGATTCCATAACTGGAGCAGAATTCTCTGAATGAAAAGCAGTTAAACTGATTACCATTATCAACTATGATTTGATTTGGGATTCCATATCTGCAGATGATTGAACCGAAAACAAAGTCTTCAACCTTTCTGGAAGTAAGACTGGATAATGGTCGAACTTCAACCCATTTTGTAAAATAGTCAACACTGACGATCAGATGGGTTACACCACCGACCCCTTTCACGAATGGGCCTAAAAGATCAAGCCCTTACTGAGCAAATGGCCAAGGTGCTACTCGGTTGGTGAGCTCTTCTGTCGGTTGGTGAATTAAATGTGCGAAGAATTGGCATTTCGGACATCTCTGTACAAAGTGAGTAGCATCCTTATACATATTCGGCCAGTAATATCCTTGTCTGAGGACTTTGTGGGCAAGGGTTCTAGCACCGATGTGGCTTCCACAGACACCTTCATGCACCTCCCAAAGTGTGTACTCAGCTTCATAAGGATTTAAGCATCGTAGGAGAGGGAGTGAGAAAAATCTCTTATAAAGGACTCCATCAACGAGTGTGTATCGAGACATTTTCTTCCTCAACCTCATCTTTTCTTGCTTATCTTCAGGCATCGACCCATCTCGTAAAACAGAGACAATTGGATCTGTCCAGCTTGATGTATTCGGGTTTGTGCTGATCTCCATCATTTTTGGCTGCATGAAGCTTGATTTATCTAGAACTTCGATGAAAATTGATCTGGAGCTTATGAAGCTATCAGAGGCAAACTTAGAGAGTGAATCTGCTGGTTCATTCTCACTTTTGGGAATTTTGCTCAAACAAAATTTTTGGAACTTCCTTTTTAGCTCAGCCACCAGGATCACATACTTCATCATGACAGGATTAACAACTTTGCAGACTGAGTTGACTTGATTAACCATAAGTTGCGAGTCACTGTAAACTCTTATGGCCATGACTTTCAGCTCTAACGTGAGTTGCAGACCAAGTAACAGAGCTTCATATCCAGCCATGTTATTAGTTGCGTCAAAGTTAAACTTCAAAGCATGCTCACTTCGATATCCTTTTGGGTCAGTTAAGAGGGCACCAGCTCCTGAACCCTTGCTATTAGATGCTTCATCAACATATAAGGTCCAGTCGCTCGGCTTGGGGTTAGGGTTTGAGTGACATGAGGTGCATTCCACAATGAAATTTGCCAGTGCTTGAGCTCGTATCGCGGACCTCTGCTGAAATGTTATTTCAAATTCCCCCAGTTTTACTGCCCACTTAATTAACCTTCCGGAGCACTCTGGCTTCTGAAGGATCTATCGAAGAGGTTAGTTTGTGAGGATTATGATCGGATGTGACTAGAAATACGGTCTCAATTTTCTGGCCGAAGTAACAACTGCCAACATTGCTTTTTCAGCAATAGGGTACTTCAGTTCTACTCCATGCAGCACGCTGCTGGTATAATATACTGGTTTCTGTTGTTTGCCTTCTTCTCTCACAGCACTAAACTAATTGCTTCATCAGAAATACTGAGGTACAAATAGAGAATATCTCCATCCATAGCCTTTGTTAGCAGAGGTGGTGAGCTAAGATAAGACTTCAACTCATCAAATGTAGCTTGGCACTCTTGGTTCCATTCAAACTTCTTCTGTTTGCCAGATTCATCCTTTTGGGTTGCTGATTGCATGATCTTGAAGAATGGCAAGCACTTATATACTTACTTGAGGTAATATAGCAATGTCTAACCACCTCTTGGTTACCTTGTAATGTTGCTATCCTCATGGGAGTTGGGAACTTCATGCAGAGGTGAGATTGAGAGACCACAGCTTGGATCTCGGTTAACGTGGGTCGTCCAATAACAACATTGAAAGAGGATGCCATTTTCACAACTAGAAACCTAACTGAAGGGGTAACATAAGTTCGGCGACTCCCAAAAGCAACGTTGAGAGTGAGGACTCTTTCTACCTAAACAGGTTAGTTATTGAATCCATAGATGGGACCATCATACCTTTGCAACAAAGCTGGATCCAGCTCGAGAATCTCAAAATAGTGAAAGTACATAATGTCTGGTGTACTCCCTGTGTCAACAAGGACATGTTGTACTTCACAGTTGTTAATCATAACAGAAGTGACTAGGGGATCATTATGAGGTGTGATAACTGTATCGAAATCAGCAGATGTGAAAGTGATTAGTTGATTCTTCTAGTCAACGTCGTCAAACTTTCATTTCTAGGCTCGGTATTGATGTTTCACCTCCCTGACATACAATTTTCTCTGATTGGAGCTCAAACCCCTTACTTCCAATCCTCTGGTAATCATGTGTATAATTCTGGCTGGTGGCGGAAGTGGTGGTGGGGCTTGTTGATATCCCACTCCTTGTCTATTTCTTGCATTACGAGATCCCTACGGTTGTGGCCCCTGTTCTCTGACAAACTTCGATTGCTCGGATCTCTGGATGTATTCATTTAGCATTCCCTTCTGAGCTAGACTTTGCAACTCGGACTTTAGACTATTACATTGCTCCGTTGTATGACCATGATCTTGATGAAAGTCACAGTATCTAGTATGATCACGTGTAGCAGCGGAACTTCTCATTGGCCCTGGTCGCCTCAAGTCCATCTTATTCTTGATCTGCATGAATATCTACGACCTCGGCAAATTGAAAAGGGTCTACGTAACTAGTGCTTTAGTAGTAATTTGCTGGGGTGGTATCAAGTTCGGCTTTCCGAATTTTGGTGTGGAGGTCATCATCGGACCTCAGTTCTGCACCATCTTCATCCGTTTTCTGCTCTGACCCTCATCTCTCCAATCTGGGTTTTGGTTCTTGGGAAGAACTAGTTTCTGTGACAAGGCATATTCCTCAGTAGTTATGAATTTCAATGATCTGTCATTGACTTCATTAAAAGTAGCAGCAGGATGCTTGATTAAGCTATCTCTGAATCTCTCGTGTTGGAGACCTTGAATTACAGCCGCAATTCCCACGACTTGGTTGAATGAGCTGACTTCGAAGACTGCATCGTTGAACTGGCTCATGTAATTCTTCAGAGATTCTCCTTCCCTCTGTTTGACCTGCATCAGTTCAGAAGTGGTTTTCCTAATCAACCTTCTACTGGAAAACTTTGTGGCAAAAGCAGATGCCATTTATGAATAGGAGTTGATAGATCTCGAGGACAAACTATAATACCAAGTTCGAGCATTGCCACAGAGAGTGGGGGAAAAGATTTTGCACATCAATGCATCAGAAGCGTTCTGAGCTTGCATATAGGAGTAGAAGGCATGGAGGTGATCATCTGGATCCTTCGTCCCATCATATGTCTCAAGCTGAGGTATCTTGAAGCCAATGGGGTAAGCTTCCAATGTGATGTTAGTGTTCAGAGGATGAGGTATGGAATCTATGTTATGATGTGGAGGTGGGGCACCTTGCTACTCGGCTACCAATTTTTCTAAGCTGTCTAGACGTCATGTGACATCATCAGATAGAGGGTGTGGAAGTGGGGTTGCATGAGACTGAACCTGAGACTCGCTAAGAGCAGGAGCATACTGAACTAGTTGAGGGTCTTGCTGTTGAACAGGGGGTTGTTGAGTAGGGTTGAGTAGATTGATGAGGGGATCGCCTCGATTATTCTGAGCTAAGAGCTGAGCCAAAACTAACTGAAAGACACCAAACTATTGTTGCATGGCAACAAGCTGAGTTGTAACTACATCTTGATTAGTAGTGGAAGCTAAGTTGTGAGCTGAGTTGTGAGGTTGGTTTTCATCTCCTCCTTCTGCATGGTCAATAGGAGGGAATCGATTCGGGATCAGAGGTGGGAGGTGAGGTGGAAGGTTGTTGAGAAGTTGACTTTGACCTTGTCCAAGAGGTTGAGCCTGATTTCCAGCTCGGACAGATCGAGTGTTAACCATGATGAGAGAGCAACAAGAGATCCTTTAGTTCGATTCCCACAGACGGCGCCAATGTAATTGCACCAAACCAGAAGTCCTTTTTCAATTCGTGTCTTCACTTCGGATGAATCTGCAAAGCCCCGAGGTGGGTCCTCGGGGTAGACACTCCGATACTTAAGTTAGCAATAATCGGATTTACCTTTTTAAAATAATTAAAGAGGAGCTTTAGATCGGTTTCAATTACCTTTCTGAGGTGGCCCATGGGGGATATTTATAGGCCTTAGTAAGGTGTCCACGTGGCTTGCTTAACAAGATAATCAGAGTGTGATGTGTCTTTTCAGGCGATAATTTCGCGATTGGGAAATTGTTTGTGGTAAATCCGATGTGAACGTGTCTACTATATTCATCATGCAACCATTTGACCGGGAAGTGTTGGATTTAACTTCACCTCGGTTATTAAGGGCTTGCATCAGTACGTCCGAGGTTAAGGACCTCAGACATATCCTTACAGTTGATTATATTTATTATTTTTTAAAATTTTATTTAGAAATATTTTACATAATTTTTTTCTCACACGATACTTTATTTAAAAATTATTTGTCATTTTTAATTATGAGTTACCTAACTCTTTATATATTTTACGATAATAAAAAAAAAAAATCCTACATACCACTACAACTACGATTTAGTACGGCATTGATGGAGCTTTGTTAGGACCAAGAGGGCCCATGGCCCCCTAAGATTTTGGAAAAAAATTAATATGCATGATATATTTTACTTTTAGTAGTTTTTATATTTATTTTGTCAAAGAAATAATAACGTTTTTTTGGTAGTTTTAGAATGTGCTTGTATTTAGATAATAATTTAATATTTGATAGTAGCATAATTGAGAAATTTTGAATATTTTGAGTTGTTGGATATTGAGTGTTGGAGTAGAATTTCCCCCTTTTTTTTTCTTTTTTTTTAATCAATGTGTAGAATTTCTTTTAGTTATACACACAAAGTATTTGATCAATTATCTTAACGAGATGCACTTTTCTACACTTTCTTTTGTTTACTATGTTTGGAGTTCTTTGTTAAGGGTATTTAATTAGCTTGATCTCTTTTATTGTTGGGTAATTTTATATATAGTTAATCTAAGCTCCAACAAACCCATATTTATCATCTTTGATTTTTTTTTTTTTTTGTTTAATAGTCAAAATGTCCCCACTCATTTTACATGCATCTCAAGACCAATCCTTTTTAATTGTAATCTAAAGGAGACCTATAGTTTATATTATGGGAAATGATACATATGCCCTTTTGTGTCACACACTGTGTTACGCATTCACTTACTCTCCATTACTTCCGTTAACTCCAAAGGCACATAGTTCAGTCCTTTCTTTCTTTCTCTTTTCCTTTCTTCAACGGATTGTTGTTTCCGATCTCTGTAGTTCTAGCTGATTTTTTCTCCTAAAATTCTTGGACATCTTTGATCATTCCCCTGTTTTCTCAAATGGTTCATTGTTGCTACGATGCTTTTCCATTTCTTGTGGGTCAAGTTTCTCTCAATGGAATTGATTAAGAGTCAATCACCCAACTCCCTTCTCCGTTGTTCAATAGGAATGAGGGAGTTGGGAAGTTCTGTTCTAGGTGGTGTAGGGGTAATGGAGTCGGGCACCGGTTAATTTATGCTCGCTTTAGAAGAGCCAACCGAGCTTCCACTAGACGAGGACCATTCGGAACCCACGATTGGGTTTGCCGATAGAACCCACAATTGGGTTCACTAGTAGAACCCACAATGCTTGAGAACCCAAATTGTGGGTTCTTTGGGTTCTCTGGCGAACCCACAAGGTTGTCTAAGAACCCATGATGTTGGCTTCTTGAGAATTTGGTTAACCCAAATCGAGTTCCTATAGCCCACGAAATTTACATTTGTTCTCTCTCTCCCTTGCTTTGAAAACTCCAAAAAATTCCAACATTTCAAACCCAACTCCATGTCTAAAAGAGAGAAAACATCAATCAATACAACAAGAAGAAGAAAGGAAAGGAGAGAGAAAGAAAGGGTTGGGCTAGATGTGTTTGGAGTTAATGGATTAAGTAACGGAAAGTGAGTGTATGTAACGAAAGAGAGTGTATATGTATCATTGTTGTAACACACCTTCCCTAAGCACTCTTAGTTCTAAAAGAGTCCTGAAATAAGATTTATAGTAAAGAATTATAGCGGAAGTAGAAACACTTCTGATATAAAATGTTTCTTTAAAAGAAAGCATGTATTCAGAAAAATCAATTTAAACATTTTGAAAAGAGAAAATTAGATACATGTAAAAGAAAACTACTTTAACAAAAAATATCAATATATATATATCTTAGGAAAATGTCAAAATATCCAAAGTTATAGAATAAGTTAAGCTAAGCTCATTTATAATCAATTTAAAAATTATATACATAAAAATAATTCACACAAAAATTATATGAGGCAAATTCTTCCCCAAAACTTTTCGAACAACAAAAGCTGAGTCATTGTTTTGGTAACACATCGATCTGCCTTCTTATCAAAAGCATGAGGTTGTAGCTTGTACATACAACGAGCATACGAGACTTGTGCCAAAAGCTCTCACACTGGGAGGTTGCTACCTCAATCTACTAATTTGAAATGGGGGAAATATCATAAGCTAAAAGCCTAGTAAATATTAATTTTAAACTACAAACTTGGGTCTTAAGACTCTTAAACTTATACATAGGGAGAGCATAATATACAATTGACTGAGCCATATAATATTTAAAGACTTAAGATGTAAATAATGATTTAATGTCACCACTAGCTCATAATAAATGAAACATGTCGGGAAATAATTAATGATATTCAAATTAAATTCATATCATATAACCATATGCTCACAAATATAATGCATAAAACAAAATCACACAATGCTATGGAATTCACTAATGTGTGCTAACAATATTGTATCGAAGTTAATCACGACACTTACCTTACTGTGCAGAGGTCTACTAAATTATCCCAGAGGGTCCACTGAATACCCCAAATTTAAAGTTTAAGTCCATTCACTCCATAGTCACAAACACATACAAATGTCAAATCCTTTCAAAACATTTTCAAAATAATATAAGGATATTATTCCATTAAGTTTCACAAAATCAGTTGCGTTCTAAAGTAATCCACTTTAAATATCACATGCTTAACTATAAATTTCACTCATAAGAGTTAAAATCACCTTCTCCCCCAAATATTTGTACTTAAAGCATAATCATAATAATTAGGGAAAACCATCTCCCATTCCAAACTCATGGAGAGCACTATAACTTCTGAATAAATATATGAAATTATTTTGTCATATTAATTGGCAAGAAAATCACCACACAAATTGAGCACATGGAGTCTAAGAAGTATTTATCAATAAAATTTACAATAACTCGAGTATGAAAATATACTCCTTATAGATCTATTCCCATACAAGCCCCAAAATATTATATCTATTTCTAACAAAATTTTTAATGTCTGGAAAATCTCATAAACTAAGCTTTAAAAAAATCAAATTTCCCCAATTTAGACTAAACCCCTAACATATTGTGACAATTCCATAATTTACCAAAATTTTAACTCAAATTCATAACAAAAACTTATACTTACCCATAAAAATCCAAACATGAAGCAGTAAAAATTGCAAGAAATTCCAGCTGGGGAGCAGAGGTTTAGCACTACACCACGTTTGAAGGAGAAAGGGAAACCCAGGGGACCGACTGGAGGAAGGGGACGGGGGAGAGTGGAGGGTTCGGGAGGCTTCCTGTCTTTTTAAGTCAAAATGCCTCCCGGCTAATTTAATGCCATTTGGCAAAAAAAATTAGAATAACTAAGTTGAGGTCCTTTAACTCTTACTAAATTCTACCTAAAGCCCTCAAAGTCCAAATCCAATCAATTTGATCCTTAAAACTATGAAAATAAATGACTCAAATTCTTAATTTACTCACTAAAGTATATGGAGTGTTACAATTGTCCTTATACTATAGATTATAGAATATACCTATAAATATGATGAAGAATAAAACTTAAGGATAAAAATAGGCTTAAAGAGAAGAAAAATATTTGTCTATTTTGAAATTAAAAAAATACTAATCCATTTATGACAAATTTATAGTAAAAGAAATAAATATAATACTTATTAAATTAATTTGTAAGTTATTTATATCATACAATTTATATTACATTTGTCCCTGTTGTATATATTGTACTCCCAAACCAAGTCTGAAACAATTGACGTGAATTTAAGGTGTGAATGGGCAAGGACTTGTTGACCAATTTGATGAATTGTCCGTGAAATTTGGTTTTAAGATAAAAACTATAACTGAAACTAAAGTTTGTTTTGGATGTATTTGGTTTAAAACTGAAAAACCAAATAGCTGTTTAACCAACCAAAAAAATTTAATTGGGTTTGAACCAAAATATGGCCAACTTTACTCACAATTAATGTTTGTAACTTCAATTTACCATTTAACTCTTGTTAGTTAGCAAGGAGGTTTACTCGCATTACCCCATGTGACCGCAGGTGGCAGTCACGCTTCTCCAAAGTAAGAAACAGGTAGAACGCATTTCGATCCACAGATTTAGTTTTAGACTCAACTTTTCTCGAACAGATACTAATCTAACATTGTATTTTTTCTTATTAAAAAAAAAAAAAAAGAGATTTACTCACCACTTTGTTTATTAAAATTCAATTCCTTGAGAAGACTAATAAAAATGTAATTCTTCATGAAATTCATAATTTTGATGTGAATAACTTATTTTGATTAAATGAGGGAGGGATTAATCTCAAAATATATATAAATTGATTCAAAGACACCTTGATAGCTAAATCAAAAGAAAAAAAAAATTTACTTTATAATGAATATGAAAGATTTACTGCTCCTGTTTTAATCTCAAAAGTTTACTTCCGTTATAAGGTAGGTTGATAAATATATATATATATATATATATTTTACCATGATGGTTATATATTCTAATCTCTACCTGTCAGTGGGGTTATACATTAATCATATTTATACGTCGTTTCTAATCTGTCTCCTTGACACAAATTTGTCTTTATTATTTAAAATTAACTTGATTGAATCTGGCCTCACAATAAGTTAGTGATGGCTACAATGGCTTTCTCTCTTGGTAGGGTGAGAGTATGGGCACCGCTAGTCGCGGTGTTGGCTTTTCGTTTCAGTGCTTTATTCCCTTTTTAGGAGAATTCTGTGCTTCGGTCGAGCAACAAGAGTGATGGCAAGTAGGTGGGTGATGGATTTATTTGGTATAGAGAAATGAGGATGCCTTTGTCCT